TGAGATGGGCGATCATATTTAGGCCGAGAATTTTTTGATAGTTTATTTTTCTTGCTCGAGGGACGCTATGAAGGGGAGATCCCCTCCCTTAGCTCGATCGCATCAGAGGAGGGAACTAGGGGGTGGGGCTCGTACGGACCCCACCAAAATCCCCAACCAATGATGTGCCCTGTCCCCGATCCACAGTAGTTTTTTTGTGGGAAAGGTGGTGGGAAGTTGGGATAACTTAAGAAGATGGTAAGTAACTTGAGGAAAGGGGTATGGGGTTCTACTAGAGGAGAGAATTTGGTGGCAGGGGGCTCGTCTCGCAAAATTTCACCCCAAGGGCAGGACGCGACCTAGTATCACTTGAAATTGCAAGGTATACGTGACAGGGGTACGGTTCTGAGTCCCGGGTTGTTTTATGAGCCGCTATCTCTCAAAATGTCCCTGCCAGGAGTACAGAGCTTTCTCAGCCCTCAAAGGCACCAACTCAAGAAAACCAATCAGGTATGTCCTGACTTCTAGGAGACTTTTTCCAGACATGATCCCTCCAAATTTCCTCAACTACAACCCACTCTTACATCTTACGGCCACTGCTATTGAGTCTTCTCAAAACTTTGCCGTCGTGCCCTTGAGCAGAGGGGTTCCGTGAGCGGTTAAGTGGGGCAGACATTTCCTGCCAACTCCTCAACCATGAAAAGTTGTTTAACTGCGCTTCCAACTAGGGGAAGGTGCAGTTCATATCCGCGCGATCCAACCTGGTGGTGTTAGGAGGCGGGAAATGAGCTCAGCCGCGGTTTTTTCTATAATTGGTTGTTTTCTACCTTAACGCGGCCACTTTTATTACAAAACCCAGCCGTAGGTGGGCTCGTTCCACGCCTCCGGAGATGAAACAAAAGAAGCATAATTTGTCGCGTCGTCGCGCGCGGCGTATCGTGATCCGATGCGCGGCAATTTTCTCGACATGGATCGATTTGTCGATTGGAGCAAAGAAATCCGTATAAATTCAAGCAAAGACAAGTCTCCATGACGGGCATTTCGAAATTCTCGCCCCTTCAACACTCGAATCGGAACAAACGGGACAACTCCAGATGGAACAACTCGTCCGTCGCAGACTGGACTACTACGCTTCTCTTGTCGCGTATCCGCTCCTCATCAGGACACGTCATTGGTTGGGGTTTTTGGTGGAGTCCCTACGCCCCGCCCTGAAGGGTGGCTTAATACGAACCCCCTCCCCCTCATCGTTCCCTCCCCTGATGCGATCGAGCTGTCGTGGGGGAGGGGGGGGCGGGGTTACCAACATGTGAAACGGGAAAAAGCGCGAGGAAAATGCGACCTCTCCCCCATCCTCCCACCTTCCCTACCACTTTCTCAGATTTTGCCAAATTCCTACCAGTTTGACGAAATTTCTCGAGTATTTCCCTAGTTCTTCCGAAGAATTTTGCAATCGAGTGGGGGAGGGGGTTTAGTACATATGGAACAGTCAACAACCACTCTCAGAAGGCCAGAAGCCAAATGCGACCCCCCCCCCCTCGAAAGCGACCAAATACGACCTCCTTTTGGGGGATCCCCAATGATGGTATGCTCTGCTCTTGATGATGATAATGATCATGATACTACCCAGCTGGTTGCGACTTTATCGGTTACATATAGCTCCTGAAACGGGGAAAAAACGAATGATTTTCATTTTTTGAAAAAAAACGGAGGATGGTATGAATTGGGAAGTGGACGGGCATACAACTGACATCGATGAATCGTCGTTGGTCAACGATCAATGTGAAAAAATCAGGGTCATAGCTACATAAGGGTGAAAAAATAACACAAGGCCAAAGCCCCATGACTATTTCGAATGATGTTTCGATCAAAAATCACGACACTGGTGGCATTATCAAATGTCGGTCGAATAATCAGGAACTAAGTAAAAAAATAACTAGAAAAATATCCAAATCACAAAAAAAAAGTAATACTTTCGGAAAAATCTCACAAAGATATTTCCATTACTAGTAACAACTCACTGTATCAGGAGGAATTCTGACGAAGTGAAAAATCACATAATAAGGGCAGATTGAGCGTGAAAATATCTGATTCCTTCGTGATCAGTATGTAGCTGGCTGATTTGTGGGTGGTCGTGGAGGAGTACGGGTCAGCAGAAAAAGGTGCCACAACAGCACTGCAGTCACACTATTTCTTCTCTGCTAGCCATCTCCGACCCCTCTGATATGATCGATTTATCGTGTCCACTGACTATCTCTGATCAACCACAACAAATTTAATACTTTTTACTTGAAACTGCCAAATGAAAAGACAATGGTAAATTATGATGATCATCACTTAAAGCAGAGATCAGGAGGGATATTCATGAAAGGCACAAACGAGATCACAATGATTTTTATATTGATGCATAATTATGTCAACCTAAAGCCATAATGAGAAGTGTAGGAAACAAAAACAAGCATCTTATCAACGAATCAGAAGTAGAAACAGACTGTATCACCACATTGGAGACGAGTGGGCCAAGACATCCGGGTTGCGCGTTGCGTCAAAGTTCAGACACTTCGCCGCGCGAGTGCTAGTTTTGACCCACTTGTCTTTATAAAGAAGGGCAAAATGATCTAGAGTATAGTACAGGTCCGGCTCTTCACGTCTGAAAAAATCAGAGGTGCCTTTGGAACGTACGCCGGAGGTGGTTCATTTTTTCTCAGTTCAGCTTGTCGCTTCTGGAGCTCAACGAGCTTCTGCTGAAATGATAACTATTATAAAAACTATCTATCGTTGCGGATCCCTCTGTAGGAAATCACTACCAACGATTGGAACACTCTTAAGTGGACTAACAGTCGCTGTTGTGTTTCTGGCAGTTTATCTGACATAAAGACACCACCATAAGTCAGTGAGACAAGGATCGAGGTCCTTATTGCGCTTCCTATATCCCGGAGAATGGGAGGGCGTGGTTGCGTAGTTCACTTGATCGTGGCGCCGGTCGCATTTTTGGTGGGATACTGCCGCATTTGGACGACAGTGATTATCCCTTCGTCCACAGAAAACATATCGCAGCTGTCTCAGACAGCAGCATCCCATGGAAAGTGCAGATGCCGCCATGTTCAAATGAAGTGCGAAACCAGGCCCTGCTCACTTCCCAGGATGTCCTTTGTACATACAGCTCATGTCAGAGGTGAAAAGGGGGCGTTCCCAAGCATGCACGTCGACGGATGCGCATTTTGCCGACTCCCTTCTCTAGGTTCACAACTCTTCTCTAGGGCATACCAACAATTTGGCAATTACGCAAAGGAAAGTATACATTGTGCGGGAAGACGGGCAAGAGAATCGTAATCTGCCGCTTCGCCGCGCGCAGCGATGGGCGCGATGGGCTTTTTTTTTCACGTTAGTCTGTGACCGGATTTTATATGGGCTTCGAAACTGTGAACATTTAGACTATTTTCGGATCTACCTGTTGTCCCTGAAACCGTTACCATTTACGTCGCGCGCGACGCCCATCAGCGCGGGCGGATTACGATTCTCTTGTTCACATACCCCAATGATGCCGCATTTTTGACGGACGGCAGTGAGTATCGCAATCCTGAGAGCGGTAGCCACCCGAAAACGTTGGTTACATATGGAATAGCCTGACATGATCGCGGAACTATGGGATTCCTTCTCTAGGCCTCTCTCTCTCTCTCTCCTCTCTCTCACTCTCTCTCTCTCTCTCTCTCTCTCTCTACCCTTCAAACATTCGTATGAAAACAAATTGAAATTTGAAGCCACAAACGACCTGTAACTTTGTCATTTCAGCTTTATGGCCTTGAAACGTAGTCGTTTGCTCCCTGATTTGTTGCTTGAGTGCTTCGATTTCTCGCATCAATGCCGAATCGGAGTTGGCTTTTCTAAATTTTTAAGCTGAGGTTAGTACTACCACCATGAGGACACTTCCTGTTGCTGAGGAAAATTTCTGCAAATTCCCCCTCTGCCACGAAGTTCCTTCCATGACCTCTCCTCTCTCTCATTGCTATCTGCCCATTTGTATGTCTTCCCCAACTTCAGAACTTCCCACCACTTTTCCCAAAAGTTTCCATTTTCTCCAAACCGGTCGAGAGGGTGGGGTGGGAGGGGAGGAATCGTCACCCAACAACTATGCGATCTCCTGTCCCCCCCACACTGGAGTCTCCCAACATTATTTGAAAGCGCTGGTGCAGAGGAAAACTCATTTATCGCAAAGAAAATTTGTTTCTGAGCCAAGTAGGACCCCTTCTTACTCAGATCGACCAGATGTGACTTCACTACCCGGCCAGGAAGATTATCCCATTGTGCGACGGGTTCCCACAGGGGCAGCAAGGCACGTGACGAATGAACCTAAAGGCAGTTGGCACGATAAATCCCCAAGGCGACTAGGATCAATACTCCTGGCAGGATAGAATTCCGCGACCCTGGGCAGGCGCTGCATAGCGGTTTCCCCGAGGAAGGTGCCCTTATAAGGGCCCTACCAAGCCACAACATTTACGTCCCAAACTGGCCGCACGCCGCCGCCCACAAATGCGACGGACCGTTCCTTGACGTTCGTAATTCATTCATTTGCCTAAGGCAAATTATGAAGCGAAGGGATATTGGTATATGAAGCGGGATGGTGCTGCATGACATGTATGGCTTCTTATTGAGCCTGGATTTTTAGGTCAGCGATGTTGGCAAGATGCGTGCCGGGAAACTCGTCCGAAATCGATTTACAAGTCACTGAGAACGGAGGCTTTTTCTTCGCAGGATTTTGACCGTTTCACTCCGTTCTTTCGCCATTTCCCCACTATACAGCGCCCTACTAGCATTTTAGGCTAAGTAGGAAACCATCGTGCCAACTGCCTTAAGTAATAAAGTGAACTCACAGTAAGCCGACTCGGTATTAGTAGTGACAGCTTGCGATATTTGACCTTTCGACTGAAAAAAGTACTTACGCAGCTTGTGTCACAAAGTGCCGACGTTACTCAGAAAAACCTTGACCAGCTAAAAAATCTGATAAACAACTAAAGTAAGCTAACCTGGCTCTTGCTAATCTGTATGACCTCCGCTTCTTCGAGTTCCTCCTTCAACCAGGTGCGCTCTTCATCTTTTCTATCCTCTTGTAGCAGAACAGGTGCGGACTTACCTCGAGGGAGAATATGGCGAGAGGTTGCTTCTTCTTTCGGTCTTGAAAGGAGCAAATATTTGACGCTTCGTTTAGGGGACTAGTTCAAAGTGAACAATTCAGCTTACTTTTCAAAGGTATTCACTAGCACATACGTGTTTCTGCCACTCACGTAGAGACCCGACAAACGGACTTCCTTTTTCCAGATCTCCACTGTCCAATCTTAAAATGGATGTGAAGGGGCATTCTCGACGATGCAGTTCACGCGGATCGTATGGGCGGAGTAAGACCTACCATAAGGCTTCCCTTATTGGTGCGGCCCTTCTCTAATCGTTATCGAAAGGAGGAGCGCACCAGTGAGGGGTGCGCAATGGTAGATCTCACTCCGCCCATGCGATCATCGTGGGCTGCGCCTACAAAGTAGTTACCTCAGGATAAGAGAAGGCAGTAGTACGACGTCTTCCAACGGTCGGTCAAGAACGTTAGGCCTTCGTTTTGCACCCCAAATGGAAAACGTTGTCGATCGCGTCGTTTCATCGCTAGAATTTACTATCGCTCGGAGAGGTTCAGGCTCCAATCTTGAACTAACTTACCATTTCGGTTCAATAGTCTCACTTGAGGACTTTATGCGGGTTTTTGCGTCCCCAGAAGTACAGCTCACTGTCTGCTGTTCCCACTAACGAAAAACCATCTCCACAAGCAACCTTCTGAAAATGACATATTCTATTGGAAGCTGGTCACAATAAGACCTCTGATGGATCTACAGACAGCCGTTATCGTCGGAGTCAGTCGGGCGGGCTCGGGAGCGGCGCAATGAGCTTGCCCCTAGGCTCTCCCCGGCAATAATGAATCAGTAGGCGTCAGTTCAGGAAGAAAGCAAACCGGTGTGGAGAAGTACGCGGGTGGGCTTATTCCAGTGTAGGCTGCAATCCCGCTAATTGCGACAATATCAAATTGTGATTTTCTTTACTTGACCGTAACCTGAACAGGATACTTCCACCTATAACATTATTCATAAGTTTCAGGTCACGAATTACTGGTTAGTAGCATTAGTGGTGAGATCCTCCAGGAAAACGAAAACCTCCTTGTGGTTCCTAAAAGATTGACTTGGAGACAGGCGATCGCAAGGAGTGGCTAGAGGGCCCGAATAAGAATCTCACTCAAAAGCGAACAAAAAGAAAGACAGAGATAATCGTCTAGTAGCAGGTCCCACCCTTCTGTCTCATACCACCCAAAAAAATGGCCCAAGCGGACGCGGGTTAGAGTTTTTGGCAGGTCGGAGTTGCTCTCGTCGCTAGGGACAGATCTTGCTTGGCTTTCGGTTCCAAGCTACGATCAAGACTCTGAACCACCAAAGTGAGATACCAACGCCAATATGGGGCATGTCCTGAAATGGGCGGGGTTTACGTTAAATGGGCGGCGTCGTCAAAGGGGCGCCGCTTGGAGTGGGGTCGTAATCTGCTAAATTAAGTCCGAAGAGTGTGTTGAGTCCAATCCGTGGAGTCGTGGAGCTGGTTTGCAGCGTAGTGGTTTTGGAACTTACAAAGTCGTAAATTTGGTTCGAAAAGAAGTGAATCCAAAAGGAAAATGATACGTTCGAATACATGCACACCAGATAGCCTTCATTTCTCTATAAACTGTTATGGCCCCGTGAGAAGGCGAATTTATCAGTCAAATGGAATGAATAAAGTAATTCACATACCGAACAGGCTTTGGTGAGGAGCTTCTTTACTGGTCGTAGACCACAAAAGGCATTGGACTGTGAATGACCGAATCCCAACTCGAAATTCGTATTTCGTCCCATAAAATACAGCTCACCAGATTCAAGTAAAACTGAAAAATGACCACAATCGGGTTGTTTCGAGGCGTATGTGCCTCAGGAGGGCTCACTCTCATAATGAAGTTAGCCACGTGATGTTTGATGCGACAAGATCAGGTCATGCTGTCTCGGTAAGAGATCGCAGACGAGCAGAGATGACGTGATCAATTTTATTAGAGAGTGGCTCCTTTCGAAATCGTACAGTCGAGGGAAATATCCCCGCGTCAATAATAGCTGAAGCATGCAGTACCTCCAGTATGGAACTCTCCTAGGTGAACGTCAACAACTCGAACTGGAAAGGCTTTGAGCATAGTAGGCACAAGAATATCGGGAAATTTATCCTAAAATGAGCTTGTTCACCAATTACTACACCACAATCTAAAAGGCTTCAAAGTAACGAACATTTCGTTCTCGAGCGAAGAAATCCCGAGAGAAGAAACCTTGGCGATGAGCCAAGTTCAGTTTGTTATACTGGTTATTACCCATAGCTAGCAGGCGACCATCTTCAGTAAGCAAAGCTGAGGCGTTGATTCCAGCTCGACAGCTAGTTATTTTAATCCCCTCAATAACGGAGCTCTGAAATCGTCAGGAACTGTATAAGCAGGATCTTATGTTGGTAAATGTTTCGTTACCTTGGCTGGGGTGATCACCCATTCGGATTTCCCAGTTCCCAGTCGTCCATCTTCACCATTTCCCCACACATAAATTTCACCCTCTTCCGTCAAAGCCATACAATGCTCAGCTCCACAAACTAACTCGGAGATATGGACTCTGAAGACCAGAAGTTAAGTTACAGACCCTGAAACGGCTCATGAGAAAAAGTTACTCAAGAGGCAGAGGGCACGATGGCTAGGGGCGGGCGGTCGCCGCCAATGTCAATGGTGGAAGGGCCGAGTGAGATGTGGCCAAACTCGTTCTCGCACCCCATCCACCAATGGCCACAGGGAGGCAAAGCGCCGAGACCCAGCCATCAATTGCCCACTATCTTTTTGGGACGGTGGAAGCGGGGCGATCCGCGGGTTTCGGCAGTATCTAGAACCCAATGCCGGCCAATCTTGACACCGTCATTCGAACCTTAATTTTGACACCAGTTAGCTTTCTGTGCGAATGCGCGCACGTGACAACAATCATGAAACAGGTTTTTTACAGCGAGTGACGCTGGACCTTCCCCGTACCAGCAAGGCCAGGATTATGCGGTACTGCTTAAACGAAAATCCAGCATTGAAATTCAATCGCTGTTTGAGCCTTGGGAGGAGGCAAATTGCATACTGCGTTACCACTGATTTTCTTACTTAGTTCCTGTAGATTCCTGTCAAGTGAACATCAAAGCTCCTATTGCAATCGCACAAGCTATCACACTATCTTACAGGTATCCAGAGGAGGCATCAGCGATGATCGATGGGACGCAGTGAAAAGCCATCCCTCCTAAGCAGAACTATGCCGAAAATTCTGCCATTATGAAATTCCTCACCGCAAGAGCTCGTCAAGCAACGTCGGTCGAGTGACATCTTCAGTACCGCAGCCCCACGAAAACGGGCCCTCTCCACAGACTAGTACAGAAAGTTCACGATTCGCAGCGCACCACACTAGAAATCATATGTCCAATTCGGTGACCTTATGGTGAACGTCACAAACAAAGTGACAAAAGGTGACTAGAGCAGTACTGTAGGGAAAAGCATGGAAAAACAATTATGGCATTTGAAGTCGTGTTATTATGATAACTGCTGTTTTACGCCGCAGTTCGCGTTCCGAAAGTTATCACAAGAATGCTGAGTTATGGGCAAAAGTCGAACCCCAGGCGGGAGTCGAACCGTAACGGATAGCGCACTCGCCCGGAAAGCGTGAGGTGCGGGTTCGACTCCCGCCTGGGGTTCGACTTTTGCCCATAACTCAGCATTCTTGTGATAATTATGACATTTGTTCCTGCCACGCCGCGCATGACATAGTCGAATGAAATCGCTGCACAATTTTGCAGCCAGGTTGTACAGCCTAGACAATGTAGGAATAATTTTGAAAATTTCGAATTTTGAACCTATTGAGCACCTTCATACCGGATGTAGCAGACAACAGAAGATTCACCTAAAACCTGATCCGACGCCAATGGAAACAATATCTCTTCCTCGGAGTGCTTCAACTTTCTCAGGCTTTAATCTGAAAACTTCACATTTGTAAATTTCGAAGAAAAGGATAGGAAGCTGTTCGGCTTGGGAGGGGCATTTCACAATCGTTAGTTCTCGTCAACCAACATATGTTTTTTGTGAGACTTGTGAATTCTCGTGAAAAAGCGAGGTAATGCAAGTGTGTCACTTCAGAGCTACATGAATTTGGAGGTCTTCACAAGATAACTTGTCCAAGCTTAGCTGATGCCCCCACCAAGCCGAACTGCGTTAAGACCTGCGTCTGAGTATCGTACCGTGGATCAGTGTCACCAAGACCGAGTTGTCCATGTGCATTGTCTCCCCATGCGAAAATCTCGTTATCGTAAC